TTCACATGAGCACAGTCAGGTGCTCTGGAATTCCCATTCTTCTCAAGGTACAAGAATTCTCAAAGTTATTCTCAAATAATCACAATTTGTTGTGATCAACACAGTCAAAGGCCTTTGCATAGTTAATGAAACAGAAATTAGACATTCCTCTGGTCTCTGCGCTTTTGGCCAAGATCCATCTGGCATTGGCAATGACATCCCTAGTACCACAACCTCTTCTAAACCCAGCTTGTAATTCTGAGTTCTCTGTTGATGTACTGTTCCAGTCACTTTTGAATAATCTTCAGCTGAATTTTGCTTACATGTGATATTAGTAATATAATTCTTAATTTCCACACTTTGTTGGATCACCTTTCTTTGGAATGGGAATAAATATGGATCTCTTCTAGTCAGTTGGCCAGGTGGTTGTCCTCCAGATTTCTTGGCATAGTCTGGTGAGCACTTCCAGGGCTGCATCTGTTTGTTGAAATATATCAATTGGTATTCTATCAATTCCTTGGGACCTGTTTTTTTGCTAATTCCTTCAGAGCAGCTTGGACTTCCTCCTTCATCACCATTGCCTCTTAAGCATAAGTTGTTTCATGAAATACTTCTGTGTCGGCCAGTTCTGTTTGGTATAGTGTCTTTGTACTCCTTCCATCTTCTTTTGATGCTTCCTGGATCATTCAACATTCTGCCCCTGGCATCCTTAAGCATTGCAACTCAAGGCTTAAATTTGTTCTTCAGTTCTATCAGCTTAAGAAATGCTGATGAGCTTGGCCCTTTTGATTTTCTGACTCCAGCTCTTTGCATGTTTCACTAAAATACTTTGCTCTGTCTTCCTGAGCTGCCCTTCTAAATCTTCTGTTCAGTTCCTTAACTTCTTGATTTCTTACATTTGCTTCATTTTCTTGGCATTCCAGGGCAATATTCAGAGTCTTCCAACATCCATCTCAGTCATCTTTTCTTGTTTTGTCTTTGTAATGACTTTTTGCATTCTTCATGGGTAATATTCTTGATATCCTCTCACAGCTTATCTGGCCTTTGCTCATTAGTGTTCAAGCCCTCAAATTTGTTTCTGAGATGGTTTTTTAATTCAGGTGAGATAGACTTATGGTCAAATTGTGGTTCTTGTGGATTTGATTTCATTTTCTTTAGCTTCAGTTTGAACTTGCATAGGAGAAGTTGATGGTTTGTTCCACAACCAGCACCTGGCCTCATTTTCACAGCTGATAATGAGCTTCTCCCAATCTTTCCACAGAAACAGGAGTGGTAGAACAGAATTAAGAGCAAGAAGCAGGGTAAGGGCAGTGACAGGTGCTGGCTTCAGGGCCATAAAGGTCAGGCATTGAGTTTTCTTACTGTTCCTTAATGCAACTTTGGACAATTAATTAAACTCTAGGTTCTCATTTATCAGTTCTCACCTGGCAATATAGATAATATTTTCCCTACAGGGAAGTAAGGAAGAACCGCAGCCTATACTGTTTCAAGTCTTTCTCAAGATGAATTGCATTTCTCTCCTAGTTTCCATGAGAGATCTCAATATTCTTATACTAAACCTTCACCTCTACCCTGGCTTTTTATCTGTATTGCTTGAGGTGGGATAAACAGACTTCTGTTAGTTGCATCCAAAAGCACTACAACTTTATGCTATTCTTATCAAGAAACACCAGATCCTTTGACCATCCCTGGTGTCTAGACAATTCATTATGATGACTGCCCGTCACTTTTCCGGTTGGAAAAAAGAAAAGAACACAGAACTCCAGATGTTGTTGGAGTCACACAAAGAAGACTGGAACCTTTGTCTCCATTAAGACAAATTCACAATAGCTCCATTAATACAGATTCGCTCCCTTTTTAAAAAAAAAAAAGCAATAATTTATTCACAGCAAGTATTTGAATCATTAGGAAATGTTAAGTCTTCTTCATAAAAATTATCTTCCAAAATGAATTTATGTTAATTGAGGAGGAAGACACAGAAAAGGAGGGAAAGAAGTGCTGCAGACCTGAAGAAAGTATTCATTGCTGCTAAATTGTACATGTATAAACAGCTGAACAAGCATTACATTTTACTGTGCGTATCCTCAACAACAATAAAAACTATCATGCCAAGCTTTAACCCATTAATATTCTAAACTAAATGCAAACCATTAATCCTGATGATTTCAACTAAGCTCAACACTGAAAATTTTTTTTAATCTTTTAAAAAGTTTTTTTAAGGTTAATTTTTTAATAGGCTTGGTTTACAGTGCATATACTGATCCTTTATTATGTTTTCCTTTTTCCTAACTTTAAAATCTAAAAAGTCAAACCAGACGCTCTTCCTAGAAATTTTCTTGTCATTACAGATTGCCTTATGTAGTTCTTTCTGACGTCAGCCTCTTACCCACTTTTTTTGTTTCATTTTGTTTTTCTCTTTTTTAAAAATTTTAATGAACTTTTACAGAGATTTTGGATTTCCATTCATTCATTGTTGCACTTTTCTCCCTGCCCAGCCCTCCCCTCTTCTCCCCCCACCCCAGTTCGCTGCTCTCTTTGAAAAATAAAAGAAAAATTCTTTCTTTGATATACAATCCCCCCACACCCCTCCCACTGCCCCAAGTACACTCCACTATGAAACCTTAATTGTGGACTCTTGTGATAACCATAATACCCTATCATACATCGCTTTTAAATTATTCTTTCCCTCATCTGTTTCAATGAAGTATACGCAATTTAATTTTTTTTTTAATTGCTTTTCCTGCATTCTAGGATAAGCTGTTTTTTTCCAGTATTGACCTCCCCACATTTGATAAGCAGGTCTTTTCTGAAGTTCAATGCAATCCAATAATAAACATGAAGAGACAAGAAATCTCCCTTTTTTTCTCTACTGGAACCTCATTCAAGCTTTTTCTCCAGTTGAGATTATCAACATTCTTTCATAAAGGTTATTCACTCAGGTACAGACCTGCCTACCTAGGATGTCATCAAGCCACATCTTTTGACGTTTTTAGAGAGATGTCATTAGAAATTGTCAAGAGCCTTCCTGATACCCTGGCATCCATGAGCACCCCCTGTCCTTCATTAGAGAATCCAGCCCTCTCTCCTTCTGCTCTAATGAACTATTTCTCAAGTAAAGAGCTTCCTATTTGGGTGTTTCTCTCACACCAGTCTTTAGCTTACATCATACACTGCATCCATACATCTGTAAAATGACTTTATACATTTGTGACTTTTTGGGTTATGCATGTTCCATTTATCACATCTGTCTCTCTAAAAGCTGTGACTTTAAGAATTTTGTTTTTTTAAAGAGAAACAACTCAACTGAATTAAGTAATCATTACAATTGATCTAAACAACTTAAATATTTTGTAAACTTTGGCAATTATGAAAAATGAAAACTTTCTTGTAAATGCCTCTCTAAATGAGCCGAGGGTCTTCTCCTCAATAGTTCATGTAGTCAGAAAATAGCATTACTGCTAAAAGGGATAGAGATCAGCATCAGTTATATTCCTCTTTTTATCTGTTTAGATTTTAGAATCAGACTCCCCATACACATAAACAAAAAAAGAATGAAAGGAACTTATAACAGCAGCGCCACCTTATTCTGTGAATGCCATTAATAACAGCTAAATTAATAACAGTTAAATGCCAGTAAGAACAGTTATCTGTCATTGAAAATAATTTTTAATGATCTATCATCTGACAACTCAATTAGACCCTCTTTCATTTTTGTTGGTTAAAAGTAAAAGAGTTAGGAACAATCTCTTTGAAAATGATTTGTTATCCAGCCATTGAAGTCTTTACTTTATCTGCACAGACAACATGTTTTGAATTGTCCTTTTGTTTGGTGAAGTGAGGCACCAGTGTCAGATCTGGAAGGGGTGGGAAGTGTGCTTTTGTATTATAAAGTGGGCAATTGTAACAGAAAAATGGAAAATATTCGTCAGGGAATGTGAGAAATCCCTGGGGGTGCAAACAGTTAATGTCTTCCCTTGTTAACCAATAAATTGGTGGCTTAGGTGTGCTCAGAGGTGTCCTAGGAAGAAATCCTGAAAGCTCTATGTCCCAAATATCTGATATTGCAAACCCTATGGAGCACAGTTGTACTCCGATGTTAGTCTGAACCGACTCCACCAAAACTGGTTTAAGAAATGGGAGAAAACCCCCAAGACCGTTGCTGTGACCTACACCTCCAGCCCACAGAATTCTGCTTACACTCATCCCACTCACTGCTAAGATGGAACACCTAGAAATATAGATTTCTATTTGCAAGAGCCCTGCAATTTTTCTGTATCTGACTAGATTCTTTTAAGGATGGAAGAGAACTTTCCCTTGCTGCTTTTCCTATTTTCCAAGCTATGACACTGATAACAGGCAATTCAGGAAGAGATCTAATGGTCTTGTAGCAAGTGGAATCTCTCATTCTCCATAACTACTCTGCTTGCCTCTGTGTCACCCACATTGCTTCCTTCCTTCTTCCACCCTCAGGGCCCTGATTTAATTTATAAGGGTACACGTTTGCAAACTATGTTTCTCTGTCATCATTTAATTCTGCTCAATTGATCCAGACAGACACCCATGTCCTTCACTACTGTAATCAGTCATCCATTTCATCTCATCAGATAAGAACATTGAATGGTTTTCTTGAAATTGTTTAGGAAAAAGAGATTGAGATCCATAGAGCAAGCTGTGATACTAGGAATGAGAGCCATGCCATTGGGATTCCCATCCAAACTCTTTCATTTGCTATCCCTGTCAAGCAAAGATCATAATAGTATAAATACCAAGGGCTGGTGTCAACTTGAGAAAACTTTAGATGACAATGCACAGAGGTCTATTGACTGTAGGGTTCTAATAAGTCCACCTCAGACCTTGAAGCCCCAAATCAGGGCTGGCTTAGGAGACTCTACTAGGAGGCTAAGATAGAAGAAAAGAATGCAAACTGCTAGAGGACTTTAATAAGTCACAAAGTTATCAGAAGCCAAAGGATGACGACCAATGTTAATGACTGTTCATAAAAACTGGGGATAAGAACTTACTGTGTCTCCAATTTTGAGGGCCTCACACTTCCTCTGACCTGGGTAGGATACACCATCTTGGCAGGTGGCAGTGAAAAAGAGGTTGAGGTCCTCAGGTTGATCCCAGACTGACAGCTCCACTTTAGACCTAATACTCTGAAAATAGAGAGAAAATGAGACTCAATTCACTTAGCAAAGACTACAACTGTGATGCTCCCAACACTAGTTTTCTGATGTCCATGTGACTTCCTGTAAGTTCCTTGTTCCTTAGAAGTTTTAAATCAAGCACAAGGCAATGAGTGAGCATGATTCTCTGTCCCTCCTTTAGCCCTTCCTCCTTTCCACAAACAGAAACCATCTAGCAACCTGGCCTAAGGTCTTCCTCAGGGAGCCTGGAGGAGCTATGAACTATCTACATCTAATTGTTGTTCCTTTTCTATCTTATTATCTATCATCTGCTTCAAGGGGTGAAGACTTGCCTCCTGCTTGCCTCTCTAAAGTCATTTCTCACCCCACTGTCAGGATCCTCAAATACTGTCATGTGCTCTTTAGGCTTTGGGTATTTTTTTTTATATACCAATAATATTTTATTTGGCAGCAACAGAAATATATCCATGTGAATTACAGTGATTATTTTGGCTGAAGAGCCAGTGCTATTTTTTCTGTTACTGTGTAGTGTTTTACTTTTATACAAATTAATGAGCATAGTCTTTACATTTAGGAGATAAAAATATTTGCTAATATAAGACAATATATTGAAGCTAATATATGGTTAACCTCAAAATAAAACAAAATGGTAATATAATCACTCGGGACAAAATAAGTGTCCATTAATCATTTCCATTTCCATTAATCAAAAATTATAAAAATTCTTTAGAGTCCTATATACAGAGTATTTCTAAATTTGATTAATCCAAGCAAAAAACAAAACTACACAATTTGGCCAAATTCTTATAATAATTTTGACATAGAATTAAAAATCATTTCCTACTACATATTCACATGAAAATAAAAACAAATGGATTATGAACATAATATAAAATTTCTTATAACAAAATGACACAAAGAAGTACATTAAATGTTATTTTGGCATTTCTATTTCCTAGGCTTAGAAAAATGGTAAAACTAAAGAATGCTTTTATAGTGTAAATAATTATTGGGTAATTAAGTAGAAAATACAACATTTTAAGGCAAGAAAAAGCTGGGTAAAAAAAATTTTGTACAGTTAGGTAACTCAACAAATTAACACAACCATATTAAGTAGATGCAAATGGCTTTGGGTATTTTAATGTTTCTAAAATAATGTTCCCTTTTGTGTGGGCAGTTCTTCTTCCCTCTGTTCTTAAGTGCTGTCAAAATGAGTACAACTCACAGCGACCCTATGAACAACAGACCTGAACCCTGTCCTCTTCTTTGGCATTTTCTTCATCTCTGACACACTTGACCCCAGTGCTGCAGTCACTGAGTGCTGCAGTCACTGTCAGTCCATCTTGCTAGGAGTCTTCCTCTCTTTTGCTGACACTCCACCTTTCTAGGTATGATGTCCCCCTACAAAGTTGTTGTTGTTGTTGTTATGTGCCGTCGAGTTGCTTGCGACTCACAGCGACCCTATGTACAACAGCCCTAAACTCCACTCTGTCCTGTGCCAATTGCACTGTCTTTGACACTCCCATCCCGATTATCCCAGTCACTGAATCAATCCACCTCATAGAGGGTCTTCCCCTCCTGCGCTATCCCTCCACCCTCCCAAGCATGATGTCCTTCTCCAAGGACCTGTCTCTCCTCACAACATGTTCAAAGTACGTTAAACGGAGCCTCAGAATCCTTGCCTCCAAGGAGCCACCCGGTTTAACCCTTTCCAGGACGAATCTGCTTGTTTTCCTAGCAGTCCATGGTATTCTCAATACTCTTCTCCAGCACCACAGCTCAAAGGCATCAATTCTCCTTCTATCCTCCTTGGTCATTGTCCAACTCTCTGATGCATAACAAGTGATTGTGAAGACCATGGCCTGTATCAGACGCACCTTAATCTCCAGAGAGACACCATTGCTCTTCAGTACTTTGGAGAGGTCCCTAACAGCAGACTTTCCCATGGCAATGTGACTTTTAATTTCCTGGCTACTGGTACCCAGAGAGTTGACTGTGGAGCCAAGCAAACTAAAGCTGTGTACAATCTCAATAACTTCACCATCTACTAGGTAGCTCCTGATAATCCTTCACCTGATAATCCTTCAAAACTAGGTTCAGTGGCCACTTTCTCCAGGAATCCATGCCATTATTTTTCATGCCCACATTTACATGGCATAAAATATGGTTCACATTCTTCAATTTCATACCACATTAAAGGATAGTCTCATCTTATGTGTGAATCATACTCTCAAGATAGTGAATACTCTCTGTGCATCACCTGTGTCTCAAAGTGTTGCCTGTGTCTATGCATTCAGTCAATTAAGTAGGTACCTGACTTAAGAATTTCTTAGTGTCTTTTGCCTGGAGCACTAGAGCATGGCACTGCTCCCTCTAATTGGAAGCACCCGGACCTGCCACCTGGCCCCCTAAACACACCTGAAGGACCTTATTGGGCTGAAGGGACATTCCCACTCGCTGTCTGGAAGCTAGCCCAGGCCTTTTCCGGAAGTCCCAGCCCTGCTGCCTGGAAGTCCTGCCCCCACCACCCAGAAGTCCCACCCTACCCCACCACCCAGAAGTCCCACCAACACCACTGGGAGGTCCTGGATCCATCATCTGGAGGACCTGGAACCACAAATTGGATGCCCCAACCCCATTGCCTGGAGGATGACCCACTGCCACCACTCTAAACTGCACCAGAGACATCAGTATCATATGTGAACCCATTTCATTTGCTCTCCCCTCCCAAAGCATGAGCTGCCTTTAGCCTGGAGCACCTTGCACTGTCCTAGTTGCAGCAGTTGTCTGACAGAAGCAGCTGCTAATTCACAGGCCTTTTCTCTCCCAAACTGAAGCAAGTATTCCCTGAGTCAAAAGTTCACAGAGAAATCCAGGCAGGGTAGCTGTTCCACCCTCCTCTGGAGCAGTGGCATTAGACCTCAGGCATGAAAAAAATACCACAGCAATGTCATGTAAGAAGCACACTACATCACACCCTACACAAGCCCAAAACCAGATGTCACCCTCAAAAAGGGACACAGTATCAACAGATCTCCTGATGCCAGAAAGTCTGATGGAACTTTCTGACACAGAATTTAAAAGAACAATGAATATTTTCAATGCGTGAAAGACAAACCTGAAGAATTATAGGAGACTGCAAGCAAAAACCAAGAGGAGCTTACAGAAATAATTCAAAACAATGAAGATAAAACAAATGAGGCATTACAGGCTCTGGAAAAACAAGAAACCACAATCCAAAAATATAAGGATCAATGTTTCAGAGGCTGTCAACATGTTGGAGGGACATATGAACAGAGTTGAAGAGATGGAACAGAGAACCAGTGAAATAGAAGACAGAAATATCACCACTGATTTGTTACGACAAAAAGTAGAATCAAAATGGAAGGAAAAAGAGGAAAGCTCAAGAATAATGTAGGACACCATCAAGAGGAATAACATGCTCATAGTTGGAACCCCAGAACAGGAAGAAGCAAGTAAAGGCACCAAAAAAGGTGTGGAAGAATTACTAGAAGAAAACTTCCCAGGCATAATGAAGAATGAGAGAATATATATTCAAGAAGCTGAGTTAAGACCATATAGAAAAGACCCCAAAAGAAAAAACAAGGCATATCACAGTCAAATTTGCCAGAACCAAAGATGAGGAGAGAATTCTGAAAGCAGCTAAGGAGAAACAAAGAGTAACCTATAAGAGAGAGCAAATAAGATTAAGTGCTAATTTCTCAGCAGAAGTCATGTGAGCAAGAAGTGGAATAACATATTGAACAATCAAAGAGCACAACACTATACCCAGAAAAACTGTCCATCAAATGTGAAGGACAGATCAAGATATTCTCAGAAAATCAAAACCTAAGGGAGTTTGTAAAAACAAGATCGGCATTGCAGGAAACACTGAGAGACATTTTTCTTATAAAGGTGTCACAGAAGGCAGGATGGACCAAAGTAACCAACTAGCAACAACATTAAAAAGAACTCAACAAAATGACAGCAATGAAAGCTTACCTCTCAATAGTCACACTGAATGTGAATGGTGTAAATGCACCATTGAAGAGAAAAAGAGTAGCAGATTGGATAAAAAAATAAAACCCATCAATTTGCTGTCTACAAGAGACACAGTTGAAAAGTGAAGATAAAGAAAGACTAAAAATAAAAGGGTAGAAAAATATATACCAAGCAAATGGCAACCAGGAAAAAGCACAAGTAGTAATAGAGCTGCAAAATATAGAAAACAAACTGGAAAAGGAAATAGACAAAACCACTATAGTAGTTGGAGACGTCAATACACCATTCTCAAGAAAAGACAGAACTCCCAGAAAGAAAGTCTAAAAAGATGCTGAAGAATTAAATCACACAACAAACCAACTCGATCACATAGATACATATAGGCTAATGCATTAAAAAAATAACACAGTATACCTTCTTCTCCAATGTGCATGGAATGTTCTCGAGAATAAATCACATTTTGAGTCACAAGGCAAGCATCAATAAATTAAAAAACATAGAAGTAATACAAAGTACCTTCTCAGACCACAATGCTACAAAATTAGAAGAAATAAAAAATGAAATGTAAAAGTTTCTTGAAACTTTTTAAAATGAGAATGTAAACACACTTACCAAAACCTCTAGGAAACAGCCAAAGCAGTAATCAGTTAATTTATAGCAATAAGCAAACATACAGGAAAAAATGACCATTCACTCTCTAACCCAACATCTCCAACAAATCAAAAAAGAACTGCCAGAAATCTGACAGCCTCGAAAAAAACTGAAATTATAACTATTAGGGCAGAAATAAATAGAAAACAGAAAAACAATTGAAACCATCAACAAAATCTGGAGTTGGTTCTTTAAAAAGGTTAATAAAATCAACAAAAACTAAAAAAAGGAAAAGAAAGAAAAGATACAAATAATCCGAATAAGAGATGAAATGAACAATGTCACAACAGAACCAACTAAAATAAAAAGGCTAACAACAGAATATTATGAAAAACTATACTCAAATATGAAAACCT